TGTCTTTCATGTATACTTTTATCATCCCTGAGGAATCAAAGGTTGAAGAAGGCGAGTGGGAAAGAGAGAGATAGAGAGAGAAACACAAGAGAGAGAGAGAGAGAGAGAGAGAGAGAGAGAGAGAGATTCTTGTTTTTTTTGTTTTTTCTTTTTTTTATAAGTACATAAAAAAAATAGCTCTATCTTCTTGATCTGGTGATTTTTTATTTGCAAAGGGTGTTCTATAATAATGTCAACAAGTGTGATTAGTGATTCCATGGTGATGGCGTCCGGGCCCGACGGGCCGGGCCATACATTTTCGGGCCAAATTGATGTCGATTTCGCCAAATGTGATTGTTGCGGGCTTACCGAAGAATGCACTCCTTCATATATAGAGACAATTCGAGAAAGGTGATTATGGCAATGATTTTAGTTGAACAAAAAAAAATTGATCTTTGAGTTTTAGTTTGCTTAATTGATAATAATTAATATGCTTTCTTGATTTTTCTTTGTTGGAGAACTCAAAAATTGAATCTTTCTAATTAGTCTTAACTGGTTGTGTTTAAATCCAGGTATGGGGGTAAATGGCTTTGTGGGCTTTGCGCAGAGGCAGTGAAAGACGAAATCTTGCGCTGCCGGAAGCTAATAAGCCTCGACGAAGCTATGGCCCGGCATTTGAACTTCTGCAACAAGATTCGGGCCCCACGCCCACCGCTGGACCCCACCGTGCATTTGATTCGGGCCATGACGCAAGTTCTGAGGAAGAGCTTGGAGAGCTCAAAGTCAATGCCGAGCAGCCCGATTAGTAGAAAACGGAATCTTGATATGAAGGGTACCGGGTTGACTCGGTCGGAGAGTTGTATCCCGAGTTTGACACTGGTCGAGGCCTCGTTTCATTGTGGGGTGGAAGAAGGTTGTGAGTGAGGATGGAGGAGAGTACGGTGAAGCTCTAGTGCTTCGTTTGTAATTCTCGTATTATGTGATAATAATGTAGAGAGGAAATTGGGTTTGTTTTTCGAATGTAGAACTAGTTCTTGTTTGTATAAATGTTCGAGTTTCTACATTTTTTTTATCAAAGTCAATCCACTCTTCATCCGTGTGTATTTATTAATTTTCTTGATACGTGCGCAGCAAACCAAACCAAAACGAGTATTAAGCAAGAGCACTAGCAACTAATAGAGCAATAGAAAATTTTCCGCAATAAAAACCGAAACTTTAAAACGAATAAATGGTCATAGATTGGTCCAAATGTAGTCGAAATTCGAAAATAATTCCACGGTTAGTTATAAAGTACAAACCTTTAGGAAAAAACTATACGCCAGCAAACGAATTTGATTAAACGAGATTAACCAAATTGATTATTCTTCTGGTTTTTCGACTACCCAAAGTTAATCCCTTGCGCCAGAGGCAGTTCGCTCCCATAGTTGATAGTACTGCACATCACCAAAAAAAAAAAATTCACAAACTCAATTTCAAAAGGTTGTTCGATAGATCTGATGAATCATTGATATTTTTTGAGCAAAGATTTGTATGTTCGAATACGAGGTTGTAATAAGTGAGTGAAGAAGATTGATTGAGTTTTTACCAAGTTGAGCGCCTCATATATTGTTTCCAAGAATCACTACCAGCTTCACGGCCACCTCCGGTGGCTTTCTCGCCACCAAAAGCACCGCCTATTTCAGCACCACTCGTCGGAATATTCACATTTACAATGCCACAGTCACTTCCTATTGCCCTGCATCAAATCCAATGCATGTATGTCAGATCTCTCTCTCAGATCTCTCTCTCAGATCTCTCTCTCTCTCTCTCTCTCTCTCTCTCTCTCTCTCTCTCTCTCTCTCTCTCTCTCTCTCTTGCTCATGGAACTGAGAAACTCAAGGAGTAATTGAGACAAGTAATGCTATCTGTCATCGGTGTCGTATTG